ATTGTATAGTGACCCTATAGGACAGAACAGAACTGCACTATAAGTTTCCAAGGTTGTAAATCTTTAAGGAAGCAGACTGTCACAAATTTGGTGCACAGAGCAGTTGATTGGTAGGTTCTAAGTGCTGACCTTTTGATTAGCATCCAAGCGCTTTAACCACAGCACCACCAATGTCCCTATTTTTGGTACTACACCAAAAAAAAACCAAACTCACTGCCATCGAGTCAGATCCTACTCACAGTGACCCCTGCTTGGGTTTCCGAGGTGTTACCACTACGGAAGTAGATTGGCCAATCTTCCTTCCGAGGAATGGCTGGTGGGTTTGAAACGCCAGCCTTCTGGTTTGCAGTCAGGTGCCTTAGGCACTATGCCACCAGAGCTCCCAAAGAAATGTTATTTGATCAGTCATCTTGACTTCACACTTAATAGACTACCAAGCCCACTGCCATCGAGTCAATTCCAACTCATAGCAACCTTTTAGGACAGAGTAGAACTGCCTCTGGGGTTTCCGAGGCTATAAATCTTTATGGAAACAAACGACCTTATTTTTCTCTCGCAGAGTGGTTAGTGGGTTCACTTTGAATCACTGACCTTTTTGTTAGCAACTGAATGCTTTAACCACTGTGCCACTGGAGCTGCTTTAATAGACTATATGATAACATAAACGTAACTTATTTGCACTGGGAAACCAAAAAATTCATGTGACTCACTTTATTGTAATATTCACTGTATTGCAGTGATCTGGAACTGAACCCACGGTATTTCCGAAGTATGCTTGAATCAACCTTTTAGTTATCAGCCAAGTGCTTAACCATTTCTACCACCAGGGTCCTTGTTATTAAATTAGCCAAACCTAGCTCTGGTGGCATAGCACCTAAGGCATTTGACTGCTAACCAGAGGGTTGGTGGTTCAAACCCACCAGCTGCTCTTCAGAGGGAAGACTTAGCAGTCTACTTCTGTAAAGATTTACCACCTTGGAAACCCAAATGGGATCTCTACGAGTCAGAATCTAGTCAATGGCAGTGAGTTTTTTTTTTTTTTTTAATGTAAAAAATGATCCCTGGTGGTGCAATAGTTATGTACACAGCTGGTAACCAAAAGGTTGGTGATTCAAGCACACCCAGTGGCTCTGCAAGAGAAAAATCTGGTCTGTTCCCATGAAGATAAAGTATAGTCTAGAAAACCCTGTGGAGCAGTTCTACTCTGTCACGTGGGTTAAGAGTGAGTTGAAAATTAACTCGACAGCACCTAGCAACAATTAAAAAAAATAAAAGTACACAGGAAATACGTTGGGGAAGATTATTTACTTTAAAAAGATACTCATAATTTACTTTTTTCTATAAGCTACCTGTGTACTTATATGAGTTTTTATTTACCAAAATTCTATTTCTTATATAACCATTTAGTACTACGTAGAGCTGTTAGTATACTTTTATCATTATATTTCACTTTTTGATTAGTGCTCTTATTTATTATATCTGTTACCCCAAAAAGACCACTTTCCTTCTATATACCCCAACACTTTAGGGTTCCACAGAGACTTTTCATTCTGCTTTATGTGGAAAGGGAGGCTCAGAAGTTTGAGTTCTGTGTATTCCACAATCTTCTCATTCCCCATTCCTTTCAATAGAAAGGAATAGCTTCCCTACTATCTTTTAAAGGAGTCTTCATGGTGCAGTGGTTAAAGCACTCAACTGCTAACTGAAAGGTCAGCAGTTCAACCCCACTGGCCACTCTACAGGAGAAAGATGAGGCAGTCTGCTTCCGCACAGATTTACAGCCTTGAGAACTCTACAGGGCAGTTTTTCTGTGTTCTGTAAGGTCACTGTGAGTCAGAATTGACTCAAAAGCAGTGGGTTGGGTTTGGGTTTGGGTTATCTTTTTAATTTGAGAAACAGGTTGCTATAACTCTAGGTTTAAAACCACTGCTTTAACATAACTTTAAATATGGTCTAAATTCTAATGTAGCTATGTGACCTTTTTTTTTTTTTCCTAATAGAGTGATAGATCAAATCTTCTTAGAATCAGAGGTTTATAAACCCTAACCAATGGCCTTCTTATCTTAAATCAAATTTGATAGAATCAATGCTTATTTATGGAAGGATTTGGATACTTCCTGATATTCATTATAATGGGATATTACATGTAAAAACTTGCTGTTAACAGAAACTATAATTTTGCCTCATTTATCTGCATTTAGTTTTGATGCTGAAAATTGTCTACTTATCTGAAAAACATTTGCTACTGGGTGGGGATACAATTAATGATCATATTAGGTTATTATTTCCCAATGAAATAAAGGTTCCGTGGTTGAATAAGTTTGAGAAAGTTTACATATTATATCATTCTCCTGGACAGTTACAATATATACTCATGCTAAAGGTTTTGAGATACCATATAGTAAATTTACAAAACATTTCTCATACTCATTTGATCACATCTTTGTTTTTTGTTGTTGTTTGTTTTTTAAATTTTACTGTGCTTTCAGTGCAAATTTACAGAGAAAATTTGTTTTACATTCAGCAGTTTGTGTACATTTGATTTCATGCCCCAATTACCATCTCTGACCATAAAAAACACTCCTCACTTCCCGTCCCTGTGACTACCCCCTCCCGTGCCCTTCTTATCTATGTATTCCTGTCTGTCCAGCTTTCCCTCTATGTGAATGCTGCCCCTCTGGTGTCTCATGGCTGATTGCTCTAAGAGGTGTATCTCCCTAGAGTACGTGGGTGCATTACCCTGGGGTAGGTATTCTGCCTGTAGATCCTTCTGCTGTTGGGCTAAGAGCCAATCTATGGGAGTGAGTCCATTTCTAGGCCCAAAGGGTAACCTGGGGCCATAGTCTCAGGGGTTCCACCAGACTCTATCTAACCACTAATTCTGGTCATTTTTGTATTTTTTAATTTTGTTCCACATTTTTCCTCCCACTCTATCCAGGATCTCCAGTTTTGATCCTTTTCCAGGTAGTGGGCTTGGATAGCTGGACACCATCTAGTCCTTCTGGTCTTGGGGTCCTGAAGGCTGAGGTCCTCATGGTCCATCTTATCTTTGGACTAATTGTTTCCGGATGCCTTTAATTTTCTTCACTCTTCTTTGCTTCAAATGAGAGGAGACCAATATCTGTATTTTAGATGGCCTCTCGAAAGCTTTTAAAACCCCAGTCGCCACTTACCAAAGTAAGTTGTAGAGTAAGATTTGTATGTACTATGTTGTGCCATTTGAGCATAATGTCCCCTGAGACTATAGTCCTGAGTTGACAGGCCGGGTAATTCTCTCTCTCAAGGTGTTTGGTTGTCTCTGGGAAGTTACTCCAACTCTGTCTTTTGTTGCTTCTGTAATGTATATGGTTAATTTTGTACCAAAAGTACATATGTAAGATTAACTTCAGCCAAATCTATCCTTTGTCTAGGGTATATTCCTGTTCGCCTACCCCCACCTGATCTTCTCACCTGTCTATGTATTTGTCCGTAGCCTGGTGTTTGGTGTAAGTGGTAATGCAGTATTGTACATATACTGCTCTTTGTCTCTGTTGTCCATATCTTATGTGCATGTTTCAGTGTTCTTCCTTTCCCCAATGTCATCATGCTGATCAGACTCTTTCCAAACTGTCCCTCTCCTCACCCAAATCAGCACGTGACCACCAACTAGTCCAAAATTTTCCCTTCCCTTCCCTTCCCTCCCATCCCCAATAACCAAGTAAATGAATTTAATTCCGCAAGTAAACCTTTCCTTGACTTTTTACAATAATGGACTCATACAGTATTGTCTTTCTGCGATTGACTTATTTCGCTCAGCATAATGTCTTCCAGATTCATCGATGTCAGGAGATGATTCGTGTATTCTTCATTATTCTTTAATGTTGCATAGTATTCCATTGTGTGAATGTACCATAATTTGGTTAACCATTCATCTGTTGATCACATCCTTGTTTTAAGCAGCAACCGTTCTACCCCATGGACTATATATTAGGTGACTAAGGAAAGCTTGTTTCTCGGCATGTATTTTATTGACAGTAACAATGGAACTTTCTATTCAAATTTATTTCATAAACAATGGCCTTTTTACTTCATATTTTAATGCTTAAATCTTTTATTTTATAGATAGTGAGAACATTATGCCTTTTTCTGACTCCAGCAGAGAGAAAATGCTCCAGATTATGTGAAGCTGAGTCATCATTTAAATATGAGTCAGGGCTCTTTGTACAAGGCCTGCTAAAGGTAGAGTTTACATTTTTCACAAATGAAACCAATTTTCTTAAATCATTTGAGAGTCTAAGGAGCTCTGGTGGTACAGTGATAAAGCATTTGGCTGCTAACCAAAAGGTTGGCAGTTCATACCCACCATCCTCTCCATAGGAGAAAGAAAGATGAGGCAGTGTGCTTCTGTAAAGATTATAGCCTTGGAAGCCCTATGGGGCATTTCTACTCTGTCCATAGGGTCACTACGAGTCGGAATTGACCTGATGGCAGTGAATTTTATATGTGTTTTGTGTGTGTAGATGTGAGTGTGTGTGTGTATTTATATATACAGATACACACACACACACACACACATATATATATACATACACACACATATATATCAGGTGCTGGACTGAGCAGTGTTTCATTCTGTTGTACACAGAGTCACTATGAGTTGGAAATGACTTGAGAGCATCTAACAGCACATAGGTTTATCTATATATCTATCTATATAGATAGATAGATATTTACATATGTATATTTAAAATGTTACATTTTGCTTTTATATTTTTCTTTTATTCCATTGACTTTTCAGGGATCAAAATAGACCAACTATAAATTAGCACTTATTTTTAATAATTAAAGAGAAGAAAATTGCTTTATTGAATCTGTTATTAGTGTTTTGGCTATGGCCATGAAGAAGCAGTCATGAAAGCATGAAGATGCATCTTTCCTAATGGTTCATTGATCCTTTCCTAGTGAATGCTTTCTTGAGGATGGCAGCATGGCAGAATGAAAAGGGGGAAAAAATTGATGCAAATAAAAATTATATCCAGCTTTTACATTAGGAGCTCTGGTAGCATAGTGCCTAAGGCATTTGATTGCTAACCAGAAGGCTAGCAGTTCAATCCCACCAGCCACTCATCTGAAGGAATGTTGGGCAACCTACTTCCCGTAGTGATACTGCCTCAGAAACCCAAGGAGGGGTCACTATGAGTCCAATCTGACTCAATGGCAGTGCGTTGGTTGGTTGGTTGGTTTTTTACATTTTCAGTAACATTCATGCTGAGCTCAGAATAATGTATTTAAATAGAGCAATTAGTTAAAGCAAATACATTCCCAATATGAATTGTACATATCTGAAAACTGGAACTTCTTCCATGTGAAAGTATATATACATATAAAAATTACTTAACGTTATTACTTTACTTGAGTAAAGTGCTTAATGTTATTTCCTCAGTAACATCTGGTTTAATTATATCATTTTAGTCCTGATGGACGTATACTAGATGCATAGAGAAAACCTTGAAACTGATTTAATGAAAAATAATATTTGTTAAGAGTTCTTCCTAAAAAACACAAATTGTATTCCGTTCTAGAAGATACATTGACATTGATGTGATATATTAAGAGGCTTAAAAATATACATAGCCTTTAACCTACTATTTCTGTTACTGGAAATCTATCCTAAGGAAACAACTATACATGGAGAAAATTTATTTACAGAGATAATTATCACAGCATTATTTATAAGAGTGAAAAATTGGGAGTGGCTTTCTGTCTTCTTTCCATAACAGATAGCATATACTTCCTGCACAGTAGGTATTTGTTACATGGTTATTGACCAACCAACTATACATGGAAAAAGTAAAAAATTTTTCTTATCGAAATACATATTCATTGAGATTTACAAAGAAATATAATCAAGAAGAAAAAAATCCCTTGTAATCTCATAATCAAGTGAATAACCTCTTAACATTAGACACCTATCTTTCTAATATTTTTTCTTTGGTATGCATTTTTTATAGTCTCCGCTAAAAGAATTGGATTACACGCTACATGATCTAACTTACTTTTTTTCCAGTATCAACACATAGCCTACAGCAACTTCATTTTCAGCAGCTAAATAAGAAACTCTTTTAATTTGTTTAATCATTTCTCTTTGGATGTTTCAGTTTACTTTAGATGCTTTGGTATTGAAACCAGTGTCATTAAAACTCATCACTAAAACTTTCCACATGATCATGATTATTTTTTTGGCATGAATTCTAGAGATAGATTTACTAAATCAGGCAGTTTGTTTTTTTGTTGTTTTTTCCATTGAGAAATAATTCTTCATGTATTTTGGCCTATAAGAAAAAGTACTCTTCCTTTCATTATGACAGGACTCAACTGGAAGCTTTGTGCTACCCTTCCGGCAAGTCATGTATGCTCCCTATCCTACCACGCACATAGATGTGGACATCAATACTGTCAAGCAGATGCCACCCTGTCATGAGCATATTTATAATCAGCGTAGATACATGAGATCAGAGCTGACAGCATTCTGGAGAGCCACTTCAGAAGATGACATGGCTCAGGATACAATCATCTACACAGACGAGAGCTTCACTCCTGATTTGTATGTAATGCTCTGCCTTTCAATATTATTGTTAGGCAGTAATAAGAAACTGCATCGTGTATGAATCAAAACAAAGCAAACAAGCCTTTGAAGGGAAAGAATTATGTGTTAAGAAGCATTTGGTTCATCATGTTTTCTTAAATATCCATTCTTAATATAATTCTGTTTCCTCTGAGATAGGTTAGATCAGCCCTTAAAAATAAATATTTAAAAATTTATTTAATGAATGTATATTGAGGACCTAGGCACTGTACTAGGCACTGAGAATAATAGAAGCAACAAAAATAACAGCAGCAACAAGACAGCCCTAGCTCTTATATTGCTTATAGTTAAGAGGATGTTGTTGTTGTTGTTACATGCCGTCGAGTCGGACCCGACTCATAGCTACCCCTCCTTGGGTTTCCGAGGTAGTATCACCATGGAAGTAGATTGCCCCATCTTCCTTCTGAGGAGTGGCTGGTGGGTTTGAACCACCAGCCTTCTGGTTAGCAGTCAA